CCTCTGCAGCTGCTTTTTCGGCTCCCGTTTTCCCCTCCCCGCAGCTCCTCGCGCCTCCGCAGGGCACTGCAGCTGCCCGCTCAGCTCTGGCTGCGGTTCGGTTCCTCAGAGACGGTACCAGTGTTAGCCAGCAGCCAGCTCGCCTGACACAAACTCTATTTATTCAGAAGAAAGACATGCCAACGAAGGCCCCCGGACGCTCACGGCTCACGCTTTTCAGGCAGGCGCTCCTTTGCACAGGGAGATCTTCGCAGGCCAGCTTTTGGGTCAGCCTCCTAGACTAGGGATGGGGATTCACAGGTCAAGGCTGACATTTTATGCTCTTAGAGGAGAGGGGAGGGACCCTCCTGTGCTGCTGAAGCTTACTCTGCAGTACCACACAGCTTCCACGGGAGGACAACCCTGCACGCAGCCTGACTGTCCTCTGCTGAGGGCCCTCGGGACTCAGCCACAGCCCTCCCCGGCCACAGCCTCATCCCGCTGGCCAGGCTATGGCTTCGTGGGTTCCTCTGGGGCAGGGTGGTTGTACGGCGCCCGGGGGTGCTGGCTCGCGGCGGGCACAGGCAGGATGATGGGGGGGGAGTAGGGCCCTCGCTCCGGCCAGCACAGGTCCACGATGGGGTAGAGCTGGCCCTGGAACTCCGCCTGGAAGGTGTAGATGGGGCTGAGCTCGTCAGGGTTGTCGGCGTTGTAGAAGGTCAGCTCGCCCTTCTCATAGTGCAGGTAGATGCCGATGCGCTGGGGCCGGGCGGTCAGCGGCAGGGTGGCCCGCGGGGTGCTGAAGGCCTCATAGACCTTCCCTTCCTTCAGGCCGATGAGCCACACGCCGTTCTCGGGAGACTTGCTGAGCTTCCCTTTGCGGCTGACTGTGCCCTTGATGATGCCCACGCGCCAGTGGTTCCTGGTGCCCACGATCACCTCCCAGTAGTGCTGGCCGCAGGAGAAGCCCTTGCAGGTGAGGATGCAGTTGCTGGAGTTGAAACGCTTGGGGTTGCTGTCCCGGCGCTGGTAGAGCCCGCACTGCACCACCGTGTCGCCCTTGAAGAGCTCCAGGAGGGGATGCGCTGTCACTGGGTCCAGCTTCAGCGTCTCTGGAGCTAGAAGGAAAGCACGCAGGCTCCAGGCACGCTAGCAGGCAGGGTCCGGCTCCGGGCGACCCCGGGGACTGGCACCGCCGGACAAGCTGGCACTGCTGAACTTCAAGCAGCTGGAGCGTTATGCCAGAGCAGGCTGCTACCAGCACGAGACCCGGCCAGCCACCGCTCCAGGAGCTCTCCTGGGGGTGAGGAGCGCACAAGCAGAGAGCAAGACGGAGGCCGGGGCAGCGCGACGCTGGCTGGGCGGCCTGTCCCACGCGCCAGTGAGCCAGGGCACCCGGCGCGCTGCCAGCGGGGCAGGTCAGTACCTGGCAGGACGCGGCGGTGCAGGCGCTTCCACACAGTCATCTTGATGTCGTCTTGGTGGAAACACGGCTTGAAGGACACGGGGCTAAAGATGCCATCACCAGGGTGCAGGCTGGGGAGCTCTGACCTGGAAAGACACGGGCAGCTGTGACACAGGTGGCGGGGACGGTGTGTGACCTCTTCTCACCTGGCTGCCGTCTGTGATGGAGCCGCTGGTGTCTCGCCAGCTGCTCTTGCCCTCTTCTGGGGCCGAGTGCATGGCTCTGGCCGTGGCTATCCATCACAGCAGCAGGGGCGAGGCTGCCCCAGCAATGCTGAGATGCCCACTGGCCTGGGACCTCTAGTCCTGGTGCGGAGGCACTGCCATCCCCATTGATGCTGTTTGCTGCTGGGTCCCACCACTCACCTGAACTGGCAGGAGCCGTATTTCTGGAAAACACAAGAGAAAGAGAGAATCGGTGGTGGGAGCCTGACAGAACGGCAGCTCCTCTGTGTGGTCACAGCTGTACACATCCATGTCCCGGGGTGGAGAGGCAAGGGCTCTCCTCTCCTGGGAGAGCTAAGGGCATCACCTCTCGTGGAGGGCAAGTCTCTCCCATCGCGGGAAGCCCTGGCTGGACAGAGGGCACCTACATCTCGCTTCTCGTGGTGTCCCAGCTGTGCTTGGTGAGGGTTCCCACTGCCCAGGGCAGGGCTCAGGGCTATGAGCAGCAGGCTCAGGGCTGGAGAGCCTGGCTGACTGTCACTGCCTTCACTAGCCAGCGCACTCACCCGGATGAAATCAAGCTGGCTTTCGTTGCCGAGTGCCTCCAGAGAGCTCTGCATCTCCTTAAGCCTCTGCAGGGCGTCCGACGTCTGCTTGACCTGGGACTCAATGGAGGTGATGAGCTGGGCTGCCTTCCCCTCGATGCTCTCCAGGAAGGTGGCCTTCTCCTCGTCGATGTACCTGTGCAGCTCCTGGAACTCCTTCCGGATCACCCACTTGAAGACATCCGCCTCATTCTGCCGGGAGACAGCAAGTGGCTGTGCAGGGCTGCCTCGCTCCATCCCCTTCACCCGCTTTTTGGTTTCAGAGATGCCACCAGCAATGTGAACGTGTCCCACCAAGCCGCCCTCCACTGGCTTTCCAAATAAAGAGCAGCTCTGTACAGCAGGCTAGATGTTGTTTCATCCTGCTGCCCTCAGCAGCTCACCACCACGACACCCCTGTCTTACACCTCTCCTCCCCTGGATTTTGATTTCCTGATGCCCCCAACCAGCTTCATCAGAGCGTTGAAAGAGCTGTTGGATCCCTCTGCTCCCAGCGAACAACCTGTGTCCTGGGCTAAGGGGGAGAAAGTGCAGCTCCAGTTGCATTTGGGTTGAGCCCTGCTGAGGAGCCCCACTGGGAAGCTTTAGCCTCAGAAGGGATGCCAGGAGGTCCCTTGGAGACCTCTATTGCGTGAGAAACGGACACGCAGCTAAACCAGGCATCAATGTGAAACCAACGGCGTTGCTCTGACTGGGAAGCCTGCTCCGAGTGGGGTCCTTTCCACCTGTTATCTCCCCACCTCCAAGGACATTCGGTCAAAGCAGCTCTGAGTGACTGTGCCCTCAGCCAGGGCGCTCGGTGAGGGTTACTTCACCCCTTCCGAAAACAGGGCTGTGCCACCAGAGAGGGCTACGTCACCCTTCCCGAAAACAGGTCTATGTTTAATCCCCGAGTTTCGTGGAGAACGCGAACCCCGGGTAACAGGGTGGAAGATAAGCCCTGTCTGCTCTCCCAGGGAAGGGGGAAGAGAAGGAGAGGAGGCGAGCTGGGGAGACCTAGGAGCAGAGGTTGCTCCAGGGGCT